CAAAATTTTGCGAAATTTCAGCAACATCGCAAAATTCAATAATTTTACCTGCCGGTGATATCTTTTTCTAGGCGCCGATGGAGAGGCTCACTACTTTCTTTCTGAGCTCACCGGGATCGCCTTTTGAGGGCCCACTGCAACGGACTCTGGCCCGTCTTCGCGCGGCAGGCATGATAGTACGCTTGCTTACCTCCTTTCGTTACTTCCTAAGAGTAAACAAAAGAAAATCTGTACCGGGTGTGTCAGCGCGGTCACTACAGTGTTGTGGGACTGGCGACCCTCTTGGGCCGCAGTCGCCCTAGCACCTCATGGGTGGAGGAAGGGTGGTGGTGGTGGGCCCCTTGCACCGTGGGCCAGCCCGCCTCACCTCGGTGTCGTGTTGGGTTGCCTACCTTGCCATCCACAGGCGCTTGAGAAGGCAAGGCGATGTGGCCGGATGTGGCCGCAGAGAATTAGTCTCAGGCTCTGTGAAAAATATCCATGAGGGAAATCAGATTCTTTGTGTGAGCTTACAAAGAAGATGCTTCGCCCAGTGTTGCGGGTTTGCATACCCAATAAGGGGCTATCGCGCCTTACTGGTAGATCGGGGTGGCAAGCCCGCAACACTGTGGTGTATTGCCCTTAAAGACGGTACATGGAAGGTATTCAAGAAAATAACGTATGCATGGGTAGTGTATGTATACAGGACAGGACATACTTGTGTTTGCAGTGCAAGATTGTTTTCGTGTGATTGTAGAGGAGCCACTTATGGAGACTGCAACTATAGCCCGTTCAGATTAAGAGTATTTTTTGTTGTTGTTTATAGTTGCAAACATGCCTCTAAAACAGTTTGGCATATACAGGTATACTGGCTGAGGGTGAGCGTGGAGGAGTTCGTCCGGTCGTACAAGTTCCTGGAGGCCGAGAGGGTGGAGTCTGGGGACCTCCAAGACTCGCAGGAGATCCTGGACAACTACTATCTCGTCTACCGAAAGACACCACGGACCCGCCCACCGCAGCCACTGGGGGCGTCGCACGCCCAGCCCGCCTTCATCTTTCTGGGCGTCGGTCTCGGAGTGGCCACCATCGTTTTCTCGTTGGAGGTCACGCCCTGGCACCACCCAATGGCTGCCGTTGTACTCTCGTAGCCGACCGGTGTAGACGGACAGTCGGCGCGGTCCCTAACAACTGTAAGGACGCCAACCGGCACGGCAGGCTCGACGCATCGATTCCACCGTGCAAAAATCACATTTCTGACTTTTTTCGGACTATACACAAAATGTATCCCACTTCTCTCTTTCACGAAATGAGTGGTCGTGACTGGTCAGCAGATACACCACTCCCGTATTCCAGCGCCGTTTAAAGATTTACGTATCGTGCCGTCTGAACTCCCCCCCCCCCTTCTCCTCATCTTCTTTCTCTTACTTTGCGATTCGCTCTTTTCGGATTAGCGTCTCATCCGCTCAAGACGTAGTCCAGTGTCGTATCTACGGTCGTTCAACGCAGACACCAGAGTATGGACGAATTTTCTGGTCCGGTCAACGTGGCGAATAGTGCATTCTGCTGCAAGTCCAGACGTTAAACCACGGCGGTAGGATTAGTTTAGCGTGATGACGGTCACCGGACCTTTGGGCACGTGGCTGTGGCTGCTTCGCACCAAGAGACCTCTGGACATCCGGCAGTGGCTTTGGGCGAGCTGTGTCGGCAGCAAGGTGAGAGAAACTTTACCACCTGACTGTTTCAACACAACGACAGCACTGCCAGAAAAAAAAGAACGCGGCACGCTCTGAAATCAAGTCCTTGCCTGCTCGATTTGTACTTGGTAAGGTACACAATTTTGAGGTACAAAGAACAGTAGCCCTTAAGTGTTATGGACACTGCAGTGAAAATAAAGAGGACAACGATGATCATGAACCTCAGATCCAAAGGCGCACCTTTGAATTTGGTGTACTAGGCTACAATGTTTTTTGAGAGTGAGCAGGGGAACCCGCCGCCGAGGGCACAGCCCGGGGGGTCCTTCCGGGTCCTTCACTATAAATTCTAGCGTACACCAATTTTTCTGTTTTTCTTGACTTTTTGTGATTTTTTTCCTGATTTTTTGTGATTTTTTCTTGATTTTTTGTGATTTTTTTCTGATTTTGGGGGGATTTTTTAAAATGATTTTTTCGTGATTTTTTCTATGGGTGTACACCGATTTTTTGTTTAGTGAAGGACCCCTCGGCACAGCCTCTGTACCGTTGTAGACCTTGTCCTCATGCGATGTGCGCAGGGCTCGCAGCTCCTCATGCTCGTCGCCAACACGATGCTGCTGCTGGCCGCCATCCAGGCGCCCAGCATGAAGGAGGCGGCGGCCGGCACCCTCATGTGCTGCGGCTTCTACTCGTGCAACTCGGCGCACGCCGTCTACCTGCTGCGCCGGCCCCGCGCGCGCGACATGCTGGCGCGCATCCTGCGGGTCGCGGGCGCCATCGAGGAGGAGGCCTGCGAGAACGGCAAAGTATGGGTCAATAACAATCACTGTGAAAAATATCCTTCGTAAATTTACGACATTTGTTGTAATTTTGATTTACAGAGAATATGTCGTAAATTTATGACAGCCATTTCTCGCTCGTCGGTCAATTCCAAGTCGATAGGGAGTGCTTGTAAATTTACAATTTCAAATTGTAATTTTACAACTTTTATCATGGAAAATTTTCCCGTGATCCTTACGAGTATTTTTCACAGTGATTAGTCCAATTTGTTTCCACTCACTTGGCTTGATTTTAACAACTTAAATGGTTTTGGTAGCTAAATAAAGTTGGCCCGTCGGGAAACGAACAAGAATGGAAACAAAATGGCCGGCGAGCCGATAAATGTGGCCCCACAATGGTAACACGTTGCACCAGTCGCAAACCGTCGCGACCGTTGCGTCATTCGCGAATGCTTCGCCGAGCCGGGTGCTACAGGTCACCATTGTGGAACCACCTTAATAATTGTTAGGGATGATCCAGAAATAACGCCCTCTTTGCCGATGCGACTTTGCCAAGTTTAACCCAAGCAAGCTCAGCTCTCATAGCGCCTGATAGGTAGGCAACATCTTGTCTGCAATGCATACGTGTACTGCGGGATGGCCTACCCCGAGTCCCACAGGCGCCGACACCGAGCTGCCGAACATTTGACGAATGAATCTGAGAAAAACTGACGGACTCTCTAGACGATCCCTTAAACAGCATTAATACATACCTGGCTTCGATAGAGATAGCACCACCACGGACACACATAATACTGGTTATGAAAATTCATAGAAGTTGTGAATTTAAGAACTGATACTATTTCACTCACTAAAGACTTCCAAAAGCATAAGATAGCACCTTTATTTTTCCAGTGCGGTATTAGAATTACCATGAACGGTAATCGGCATCGGCTTATCAGAAAAGGAATGCCAGCCAGCAATCTTTTTCAAAACTGAAAAAGGTTAACCATCTGGTAGATTGCTTTAGGTTACTGTCTGATTGTGCGTACTCTGGGGGTAGGCTGGAAGGGGCAAACGCCGGGGATGCGCAGTTGTTTCTTCGTCCTTTTTTCGTCTACTTTCTCCTCAACTCTGTAATTCCATATTGTTTCGGAACGCACCCTAGAGTTGTCTCCCCACGCGTTTCGCACGCACCGCCTTAGCCGGCCACGCGGCTGGCATATTATAGGGTGGGGGGCAGAAAACAACCTCGAACTTAATAACGCACATCAGAGGTATCAGGCTCAGCGAGTAACCACGAGAGTGACCGTGACCAGGGACACACCAAGGACATGTGTCATTAGGGGTTGTTGTCCTCTTTCCAAACGTCACAGCTGACAGCTACATGCCTGGATAGGGCGTCGGGGTCATCGCACCCGGAATATACGGGTTCGAAACAACTTGTTTCTGCCAACGCATTCTGCCGTGAAGCTGAAGAAGGGGGTAAGTCCACTTAGCACCATGACTATGACCTTTTAATCGTCTTTCACTGCCGTCTGATACCTCAGAAGTTCCCAAAATGACGTCGGGAAGTTAGTTTTCAGTACAAGTAAACTTCTCAGGGTGACTTCAGGAACGTCCTATACAACAAAGGCAATGACAGACGATTCAAAGGTCATGGTGCTAAGTGGACTTACCCCTTCTTCTTCTTCCGCTTCACGGCAGCATTCTTCGGTACCACAGCGCATTTCTTGACTGTTCAAAAATTAGCAAATAATTTATTGGTTCTGACGACCATTTTTATTTCCGTTGCAGGTGGTGCTAACAAAGGCCACCCGTTCGATCCGCCGGATGTCGGTGATACAGCTCACGTACATGGGCGGCATGGTGTGCAGCGTGTGGGCGCACGTGCTGGTCGGCGGCCGGCCCTACGCGCCCATGTGGCCGCCGCCGCCCCTGCCCGCGCCCTGGGCCGAGCGCGCCGTCGGCTACTTCGAGATGGCGGCCATGCTGCTGGGCTGCCTCGCCTACTTCACGCTCATCACCCTCTTCAGCTGCATCGTCATGGCCCTCACGGGGCTGTACCAAGCACTCAGCCTCCGCGTCGAGGTAAGCTCAACACACATTGAACCCGGTTGACTTTGAAACAATTTTTTTGATAGTAGGCAATGTTTTTTTTTCGGGGACGAAACGAAGACGAGCCAACGAAGGGGGCAGGTGCTGCGGTTGATCGAGCTGCACCAGCAGTTGAACCGCATCTCGCGAGAGGTGGAACTGTTCTTCGCTGACATCATCGCCCACCTCATGGTGGCCATCTTGGTCGTGCCCCTCGTCGCGACACTCCAGGTGTGCGGATACATCACCCCCTCAAATCGCAAGAGTCGATAGTCAGTCCCAATACATTGCAAGCTAAAATCTTGTGAACTGTTTTATTCATAGATTTACTGGTATCTGTGAGCGTGCTACGCTTACGCATTTTTAAGATGCCAGTATAAGGAACTTTGCTCATACTGGCCTGCTTAAAAAACAAGCGTATGCGTGCACACAGAAACCTTTCGCAGTAATTTGTGAGCAGAAATTGTTTTGTTGTTGTATTTGATGTTTTGTTTGTTTAGGTGGTATTTAACGTCGTGGACGCGCTTACCTTCATGAGTTCGTCCATCTTAGTGAGCGTCTTCCTGCCCATGTCCGCCGTGAGCCAGAGCCTGACGGATGCGAGCGCCTCGCTAAGTCGGAGCGCCTACTCCAGCGCCTTCAGCGAGGTCGCCAATGCCCCATCTTTTCCGTTGGCAGACACAACATCGCCTAGCCCAGTGTCGTCCACGCAACTGCCTTTGGGTAAATTTGTGCGTTCACTGGAAACGCAATCATGTGAATGTCGCACACTTGTTGGTGTGCGAATGCACCTTCGTACACATAAGGGAGAAAAGGTGAGAATTTTCTTTTCGAGTTCACACATCTGGGTGTACGAATGTCGTCAACACACCCACAAGTGTACGACATACTCACACACTTTGGGCTTTCGGTGTGACATTTTTGTGACACGCGTGTGTGCCTCGGTGTGTGCTCCGTGTAGAGGCGCCCCCGAAGCCGGTCGACGTGTCGACGCAGCGCGCCCTGCTGCTCGTCATGGTGTCCGCGTCGCGGCCCGCCCGCATCAGCCTCAAGGGCCTGGGCCCCGTCAGCCTCAGCACGGCCAGGGCGGCCCTGCGCGTCTGGTACCAGTGGGGCAACATGCTCGTCAGCGTCGCGCGATAATATAAGGTCTCGAAAAGGTCGACAAAGTGATCGACTTTGTGCGATGTGTACATGCGATGTTCGTTTAGATAGTTGCATTAATTCATTTATAAAGAGCAGCGAGGAAGAAAGAAAGAAAAGTTAAAGATGCATGGTGCGTAGCTGCGCGGCTGCGCGGCGCGGGTCTCAACAACTAACTGGCCCAGTCTCCATTATTTTCATTCGGTTATTGCCGCCACTCTCACCCCCCC